GATCATAGGATAAAGGGAGAGGACATTCAGATTGACCAGGTTGAATTGGGGGAGAGGGGGTCTCACAGTGAGCACTCTCCTCTGAATATGATGTTCCAAGAGTTAGATGCTGTTTCTGTGTTTGATGAGATTATGGAGATTACCATGATCCTTCGTATAGGATGTTAGAGGACAACTGCAGTCTTGGCGAATTATAACAGAAGGAATCAGGAATGATGAAAGAGGCCATCTGAATCAGCCTGAGACAGGCTGCCCCAGGTGTCCAAATAATCTGCTTTTCACTAAATGCAAAGAAACTGGCATTCCTATTTTCTCAAAGATTTACATCCTGCTCTTCCAAATAGTTAGAAGCAGAGCTATTGCAGGGCATGGATGGTGTTGGTGGTGAATAGCTGGAGAACTGGGCAAATAGAAAATGTATTTCTGTGGGGTGCCCAGCTGGCTCAGTAGGTAGAGCATGCAACTCTTGGGATTGTAAATTTGAGCCTGATGTTGGGTGTAGAGATTACTTAAAATCCTTTAAGGGCTGGCTTAGTCAGTTAAGCATCTGCCTTCGGCTCAAGTCATGATCCCAGGGTCCTGGGATCCAGTCCCACATCTGGCTCCCTGCTCAGGGGGAGTCTGCTTCTCCCTCTACCCCACACCCCTGCTCATGATATCTCTCTCTCTCTCTCATGCTCTCTCTCTCAAATAAAAATCTTAAAAAAATAAAATCACTTAAAGAATGTATTTTTGTGAGCTAGTGTTTCATTCTGTTCATACAACTGTTTCTTTGTCAAACTATCTGGTTATTGCTTACTAGTGATTTAATAAAATTACAACAGTAAGTAATGTGGCACCTGAAAGAGTTAATCTCTCAAACTCCCCAGTGACAGTTGCCACTAGGGCAACACTCCTGGCAAACACTCAACATAACTTCTGTAATTCAAAGTTCTGACTGAGCCAAGAGCAGGCTCACCAGGCTAAGAATAAAGCTGTTTTTGTATCCAGACAGCAAGTACCTATTTTGAAAACCATGCTTTCCATTTAATCTCTCTGAATGTAGGGAACTTTTCCTTAAAGTCTAAGGACAAGGCCCCTCAAAGGGAGAGACATGTGGCCCTGATGTCCTTTCTCTCTAGACCTGTTACAATATCAGATTCCTCTGGAGAAATCATATGCCTGAGTCCAGACGCTTTGGACAAGGGAAATATTCAAGTATTTCAGGGGATTTAGATACAGGATCAGAGATAATGCAAATTCTTGGAAACCTCAATCAAATGGGAAAGACTAAATGTTCAAGGATATGGACGAGGAAGGGCCTGAGGTGGACAGGTTTTCCTAACTCCAAAGTGGGACACAGAAAATCAAAGGTATTCTTTTTGGTGATTTCATCAGTCCCTAATACTGTTCTTTGTTGTTTAAACCTTTTATTTTGAAATAATTTTAGCCCCACAGAAATGTTACAAAACTCGTACAAGGTTCCCTATACCATTCCTCCCCTTTCCTTAATGTTAGCACCTTACATAACCGTACCACAAATATAGAAGTCAGGAAGTGAACATTGATAGAATACTATGTAACCATGAGAGTATTATTGCAATTAAGTTACTGCTATCTTGGAGAAAGGACTTACTCAAATGGGATGTTTACTGGCTGCTAAAAAATGGAAATGTGGAGCTCTCTTGTCCCACCAAAACTGTAAACAGGAAATAGTACCAAGCCAGATCATGAGTGAAATCATGATCATAGCTGATACTGGGGTAACTGGGAATCCATTCCCACTTCTAACCTTTTCCCCTTCAACTCTCAGTTGGGTTATTGGAAAAATAGATGGATCTCAGATGTCAATAAAACTAATGTAATGAATCTGTAACTGTTTTTCTATAGGAAGATCTTTCTAAATCATCCCTGACTGCGGGGCACCTGGGTGGCTCAGTTGATTAAGCGTTTGCCTTTGGCTCAGGTCATGATCCCAGGGTCCTAGGATTGAGTGAGCCCACAGTTGGGCTCCCTGCTCAGGAGGGAGTCTGCTTCTCCCTCTCCCTCTGCCTGCTGCTCTGCTTGCTTGTGCTCTCTGTCAAATAAATAAATAAAATCTTAAAAAAAAATCATCCCCATGGGTGCCTGGGTGACTCAGTCGTTAAACGTCTGCCTTTGGCTCAGGTCATGATCCCAGGGTCCTGGGATCGAGCCCCGCATCAGGCTCTCTGCTTGGTGGGAAGGCTGCTTTTCCCTCTCCCACTGTTCTCTCTCGCTTGCTGTATCTCTCTCTCTGTCAAATAAATAAAATCTTTTTAAAAAAATCATCCTTGATTGGTATCCTTTTATTGATCTTACTAGGGCACTGTTTTTAATCCCAATACTTTTTTTTTTTTTTACGTATTAGACATCAACAACATTTTGCCGTCACTTGGTGGCCAGTGATTTACCTTTACAGTCTTGCCTCCAAGATATTTCAACTCTTTAACATTTGACATAATCTGTTAAGGTGTTATTTAAACAGGTGTCCTAAGCCTAATTCAGATAGTGAAATTACTCATTATATTGATAGCCTACTGATCAGGTGACACTGAAGTAACTTTCTGAAGTTCAGCCTTTCCATATTGAGTTTATAACTAAAAGTCAGCGGGCTACTATGTATGGAAAAGGTCAGGGGCCTTCTCAGACAGAAACCCTTCTGGGAGTATAATTATCTGGGGGTAACCAGAGAGATTCTATATCAGGCAAATGTTATCCATAAAGTCCCTACCCCTAAAATAGGGACACAAAAATTAATTTTTATGTTTAATATTGGAGATAGTATGCTACATATCTGGGTTTTAAGCTACAATCACTTCATCAAGTCACTAGACAAACATTAGAATTTGTATGAAGCCACCCCCCTTTCTTATAGCAACTGATTCTTTTTCAGATTATGGGCAACCTAGCCTGGCAGTTGGCCTCTAAAGTACCTATTTCTTCCATAGAGTTCCTAAGTGCAGAATTCCCCCACAGGAAGGCATTTTGAATGGCCCAGCCTCTCCTCCCCCCTTTTTTTTTTTTAAGATTTTATTCATCCATTTGACAGAGACATAGAAGAGAGCACGCACAAGCAGGGGAATGGCAAAGGAAGAGGGAGAAGCAGGCTCCCCGCTGAGCAGGGGGCCCAATGTGGGGCTCGATCCCAAGACCCCCAAGGCCTCCCTCTTAGCTGCTCTTCCCTCATGTGCCATTTCTGTGCCTCTTCACAGCAACCCAGGTATCAGGGAAGGGAGAGGGAGAAGCCACCTTTTTCTTTGCCTTTCTGAAATCTGAGTGCAGATTTCATTTTTTAAATTTCTTTTTTCTCTTTTCTTTTCTTTCTTATTCTCTCTTTCTTTGGGCAGGCAGCAGGAGAGGGAAAATCTCAAGCAGGCTCCACACCCAGCACGGAGCCTGATGTGTGGGTCGATCTCATGACCCTGAGATCCTGGCCTGAGCTGAAATCAAGAGTCACTTAACCTGTTAAGTCACCCAGGCGCCCTGAGTGCAAATGTCAACTGTGCTGGTGGCTGCAGCAGCCCAGGTAAATTCTTTGTAAGCTGAGTGTTCCCAGATTGAGCACAGCCTGCAACACTTTATTTTTTACTTTTTAAAAGATTTTATTTATTTGAGAGAGAGAGAGAGCACGAAGAGGGAGAGGGAGAAGCAAACTTCCTGCTGAGCAGAGAGCCCCACCCAGGGCTCAATCCCAGGACCCTGGGATCACGACCCAAGCCGAAGGCAGATGCTTAACCAACTGAGCCACCCAGGTGCCCCAGCCTGCAACACTTTACACAACAGGTATTTTAAATACCCAACAGCAGTTACTTCAGGAGGTAGAGCTGTCAAAGCTCACTGAAATTCTGAGATCTGGGACCTAGTCTGGCTTCTTTTTGTTCCGTTTATAAATACATACTGAGCTTCCACTTGCTGGGCATCTTCTGTGTGTTCCATCCATCTTGTTGTGTAACCAAGTAGGATGAGCTGAATGGTCAGGTTCAGCTAAAGAAAGGCACTAGCAAAAATGTGAAGGGCCAAGAGGAGAGTGAGGTCAAGGTATTTATTCCCTCCCCACTCCTACCACACCACGATTGCCTTCCTCACACCACCATGGCTACCAGCCTCCTGCCAGGCAGCCCTCTGCCCTTGAGCCTTCAGGGCCCAAGGTTCTGCACCCAACCTTGTTTGTTTTTTGACTTGCCAATGCCTTTGTAAATAGTCCCTTTATGAAACACTCCACAAATTACCCAACTGGAAAGTGCCACTTGCTTCCTGCCAGAACTCTGACACAACAACACTGACACTGCCAGTGACCAGATTTGTGAACTGAAAAGCAAAACTCTTGGGGCACCTTGGTGGCACAGTGGTTAAGCGTCTGCCTTTGGCTAGGGTCGTGATCCCAGGGTTCTGGGATCTAGCCTCGCATAAAGCCCCACATCGGGCATCGGGCTCCTTGCTAGTTGGGAAGCCTCCTTCTCCCTCTGCTTGCCATTTCCCCTGCTTGTGCTCTCTCTCTCTCTCAAATAATAAAAATATTAAGTCTTAAGAAAAGCAAAACTCTTACTGAGCACCTGCTATATAGTTTTATCAGTGCGGTGTTTTTACCTATGTTAGCCCATGTAATCATCACAATATGCCTTTTACAGACAAGGAGACTGGATTCAGAGACTTAATTACGTATCTTGCTAAGGATCACCAGGCTATTGAGCAGGATCGGACTGGAATTCAGGTAGATCTCACACCATAAACATCTACCTGCTCTGAAGGCCACCCTTGGTACCCTTAGCTTTAGGGAAAAGGCTCGGTAAAGGACTGAGGCAGGGGAAGGATTAGGCTGTTTCCCCAATGACCATCTGAATTACAATCACCTGGGATGCTTTATAAAACTCCAGATTCTTGGAACTGCCAGTATCTTTCCCAATCTCAGCACTGTCTTTGTACCTCTATTTCACACTCACTGCGCTGGATTGCAGAATTAATAATGAACTCTTATTTTAGCAGCTACTTTCCTCCGATCAGACGCTACTGGATTTGCACAAACACTAGGAGACCTCACACAGCGGCTTAGAGTGTCTCACGTGAGTCCAAAAGAAGAAGCGCAAAGGTTCCAACTACGATTGTTTCCCAGGGAGGTGGCGGCGCGCCTGGCTGGACACGTGACCGGGGAGGGCTGACTCCCTTGTTCCACGGAAATCGAGATGGCGGCGACGGTGATCCTGCAGCCCGCGGGCCGCTGCAGCTGGGACGAGCCCGTGCGCATCGCCGTGCGCGGCCTGGCCCCGCGACAGCCCGTCACGCTGCGCGCGTCCCTGCGCGACGAGAAGGGCGCGCTCTTCCGGGCCCAGGCGCGGTACCGAGCCGACGCCGGCGGCCTCCTGGACCTGGAGCGCGCGCCCGCGCTGGGCGGCAGCTTCACGGGGCTCGAGCCCATGGGGCTGCTCTGGGCCCTGGAGCCCGAGAAACCCCTGGTGCGGTTTGTGAAGCGGGACGTGCAGACGCCCTTCGCGGTGGAGCTGGAGGTGCTCGACGGCCACGAGCCGGACGCCGGGCGTGTCCTGGGCAGGGCGGTGCACGAGCGCGACTTCCTGCGGCCGGGCGTGCGGCGGGAGCCGGTGCGCGCGGGCCGGGTGCGCGCCACGCTCTTCCTGCCCCCAGGTGAGCGCCCCGGGTCCCAGGCTGTTATGGAGAACCAGGTGGAGGAGTCCCGGGACCCTGCGAAGCCTCTTGCCTGGCGGGGGAGTTGAGGGGGAACCACGTAGTTGTGGAACTTTCCTAAGCTCATCCCCGCACTCCAGAGCCTATCATGGATTCTGGATAGACGTTTTTCCTCTTTAAGTTCATGGCACTTCCTAGAGTCACTACCACTCCTTAGCTGTATGCTAAAAAGTGCATTTATTTCAAGTGCCCGCCAGGCGGCTGTATGACTTAACGCTGCTTTGCCCCTTTTCACATAGAACTTCCAAGGAAGCTAAAACCCACAGATAGAGGCAGTGCTCCATAATCCTAAAAAACAAACTGATGGTCACCTTCTCCCATCATAAACTGTCAGTGATTTTTTTTGTTTTTTTTTTTTTTAAGATTTTATTTATTTTTGAGAGAGAGTGTGGGCACAAGCAGGGGGGAGGGGCAGAGGGAGAAGCAGACTCCCTGCTGAGCAGGGCCCTGGGATCATGACGTGAGCTGAAGGCAGACCCTTAACGGAGGGAGCCACCCAGGCATCCCTGGCAGTGATTCTTAATCTCGGTTGATTTTCCCCCACCCCAGGGGACATTTGGCAATATCTGGAGACATTTTTGGTTCTCACAACTGAAGGGTGGGGGGTGTTACTGGCATCTAGTGAGTAGAGGCCAGAGATGTTGGTAAACGTTCACAATGCACAGGGCAGCCCACACAACAAAGAAATATCTTACTCAAAATGTCTATAGTGCTGAGATTGAGAAACCCTAGTCTAAGTAAAAAGGTGCTTACTAGGTAAAAGGGGCCTGGAAACAAGACCCTTGACCCAACTCTTACAACCAAATTTCTGGTTGAAACCCCTCCTATATAGAAATGCTGGAGTTGGCCACATCTCACAGAATCCCTAAACAATTCTGTTATTCTCCAAAACAAGAGGCCCTGCTTTATTCTTACAGCTCATCAGCAATTCCCAACCTTAACTAGTGGCTGCACACTCAACTGTGAACTCCTGCGGCTGCGATCAGATTTAACACATCTCTGTATATCTATGTTCCTAGAGGCTTGCCCAGGGATATAGTAGGAGCTCAATAAATCACACCGACTGATTCAGTAAGAATCCCCCAGGGGCACCTGGGTGGCTCAGTTGGTTAAGTGACCACCTCTTTGATTTCAGGTCAGGTCGTGATCTCAGGGTCCTGGGATGGAGGGAGCCCCGTCTCGGGCTCTGCACTCAGCAGGGCGCCTGCTTGAGATTCTCTCCCTCTCCGTCTGCCCCTTCCCCTGTCCCCTCACGTGAGCGCTTGCTCACTCTCTCAAATAAATAAAAGCTTAAAAAAAAAAACATTTAAAAAGAATCTCCCCCCAAAAAACCTTTCACCGCCCATCATGGTATCTGATACTCCAGTCAAGTCAATCTTCTGTTAACTATTTCAGTGTCTACTATGTGGTCCATTTAAAAATTGTTTTCTGGGCGCCTGGGTGGCTCAGATGTTAAGCGCCTGCCTTCAGCTCAGGTCATGATCCCAGAGTCCTGGGATCAAGTTCCGCATCAGGCTCCCTGCTCGGTGGGGAGCCTGCTTCTCCCTCTGCCTCTCTCTCTCTGTCTCTCATGAATAAATAAATAAAATCTTTAAAAAATAAATAAAAATTGTTTTCTGTCTCAAAGGCTTTTGTAAATAATGTAGAAGAGTTCAGTCATTTAACAAATATGTACTAAGTCAAGGACCATGCTACATACTGGGATAGCAAAGTTAGACACGGTCCTCACTGTACTTACAGCTTAATAAAGGACCCAGGTAACTATACTTGCACTTATAGATGTGGCAGGTGCTGTGATAGAGAGAAGGAGAGGGCCAGGGTGCTGGTGGGAACATATAAAAGGCTATCTGGCCGCTCGCCCTCTGACCCGCGGCCAAACGCCAGTGCATTCTGCGCCTCCCAACCATGCCCGCGGGCATGTCCTGGGCCACCTATCTGAAAATGTTCGCTGCCAGCCTCCTGACCATGTGCGCCGGGGCCAAAGCGGTGCACAGGTACTACCGGCCGGACCTGACAATACCTGAAATTCCACCAAAGCCTGGAGAACTCAAAACGGAGCTTTTGGGACTGAAAAAGAGACAACATGAACCTCAAATTTCTCAACAATAGAAACCTCAAAATACTTAACTCTGCCAAGAACTCCGTGAATAATATTATAAGTATTAAATACATATTTTTAAAGTTTATTGAGTCAAACTGGTTGTCTTTAAGCATCTAATGCAATGCTAACTGCAAGAGGTGCCCAGGTGTTAACTGATGCATTGAGATTTAATTATGGATTGACCAGTGTTTCTTGAAAACTGCCAAAGTTTATATCATCAGCTTTTTGAATGTATTTGAATAGATACTTAGTCTTGGATATCATGTGAGAAAGAATACAGTGTTTCCTGCCCTTATAATTCTGGTTTATGTCTCTGAATAAGCTTGACTATCCTGACAAATGGGAATTATAAATTAACTATAATAAAAGTGTCATTGACAATGAAAAAAAAAAGGCTATCTGATTCAACTCAGCCTTGGGGGAGATCTGGGAATTCTTCTGGGAAGGGAGATATAAATTTAGGTTTGAAAACTGAGGGGTCAACCAGATCATAAAAACTAGAGAGGGGAAGAGACTAGTGTATACCACTTTCAGGAACCAACGAGAACAGCACATTTAGGGATGGTGTTATTTAAGGCTGGAGCAGAGAATGCAAGGACATGCGGTGTACATCTAATAAACCCTTATGTATGTAGAACATTTTACAGCTCTCAAAGTATTCTCAAATAGATTTTTTTTTTGAGGAAAATTTTGTGGGAAATGTACATTTCATCATGTGCTATTTCTAATTTGGTATAAATCTATATGTGGTGTGTGTATATACACTACCATACATATACCATATATATGTATATATATGAAAATATGTGAAAAATTCTGGAGAAATAAATAATTTTGTTCCCCCTCCCTTCTCCCTGAAGGTTACTAAAGAAGAAAGAAGGAAAATTTTTTTAAAAAGGATCCTTTTTCCACTCACTCCCCCACCCCCAGCCTTCCCTGCTTCACTCTTTGCTGACTGCCAGAATCTGAAACTCGAGAATGTCTTTTGAGAGTCTAAAGCTCCTTATGATTTGTGGTGCTTTCTAGGTGCAGGACCCTTCCCTGGGATCATCGATCTATTTGGAAGTGGTGGTGGCCTTTGTGAATATAGGGCCAGCCTCCTGGCTGGACATGGTTTTGCTGTGCTTGCTTTGGCTTATTTCAGATTTGAAGACCTCCCTGAATATTTGGATGATATGCACCTGGAGTACTTTGAAGAAGCTGTAGACTTCATGCTGCAGCATCCAAAGGTGGGTTCTAGTGTTTGCCTGAATGCAGAGGAGAGGGAATAGAGTGAACACAGGACTGGATTCAAAAACCCTGCCAGGACATCAGGGGCTAGAAATATGTCATGAGACACCAAAGTTCCTTCAAAAGTTACTAGGATTATTATTTTCATTTCTACCCATCTCTCTCCAATTTCTTAAGACTCAAGTTTATTTCCCTTTAATTCTTGACCATAATTCAAAGCACTCTACTAAAATGTTACTAACCTTAAATTCTGATTCTCCATCTACTACCACATGGCCTTAGAATCCTGAACGAGGCAACTGCTTTCTCTGAGATTCAGTTTTTCTCACTTATAAGGCTGATGTAAATGTATAGAGGAAAACATTTGACTATTAAGAGACATTTTTAGGACATTTGAACAGGGACTGTATTTGATGATACTAAGGAATCATTAATTTTGTTAAATGTGATAATGGTATTATATACTTTTTTGAAGATTTATTTATTTATTTCGAGAGAGTGAGAATGAGAGAGAGAGTACATGAGAGGGGGGAGGGTCAGAGGGAGAAGCAGACTCCCTGCTGAGCTGGGAGCCCGATGTGGGACTCGATCCCGGGACTCCAGGATCATGACCTGAGCCGAAGGCAGTCGCTTAACCAACTGAGCCACCCAGGCGCCCAGTATTATATTTTCATAGAGAGTTTTTATCTGAGACTGAAAAAAATAATCAACATTTTGGTCTGATCATAAATGGAATACACACTCTGCAACTATCTCGACTTAAAGCAACCCAAATATTCTAATGTTAAGTAATAAAATGTTTTATAAGTTCTATAGGATATTCTAATGCTGCCAGAATTCAGGGAATGGTCTCTTAGCAGAGCTGCTACAACCTAGATGATTTTGAACTGTGATTATTGGTTTATTAGAGGAGATAAGGCCCCAGGGAAAAAGAAGAGACCAGTATATACTCAGTTGTGCCTTTAGGCCTAGGCAAGAGGGGCTTCTGTCCTGGACTCTTTGTTTTAGATGGCCACATTCTGGCCTGCCTTTGGGCTGCATCCCTGCCCACAGGGTGAGGAATCCAAGGGACCCAGGGAATGTATCCACCTGGAATTCATGTGCCTTACACACACACACACACACACCATGCCCTTGTGATATGGAACCCCAGAATTCTTTGCCAAATAGCACTAATCCTGCTTCCAGGCTCCTCTATGTCTCTTCTCTGGTCTATCAATGTGGATACACCTAGGCCTTCACCATGTAGGCTGGGGTATCCACATACATGTGTGAGAGGCCCCTCAAGGTACATGATGGAACTGGGAATGGGAAAAGAAGGAAGGTGGACCAGGGACCAAGGACTGGGGCTCGCTCTCCCCCAGGCCATATTCCAGTACAGAACTTCAAGGACTCCCAAGCTTTCAAATTTTCTGTTATGGAGGTATATTTACCAAGGTGGGAGAAAAGAATATATTTAAAGAGTTTGTTCATTTGATTTATAACTTTTAAATATTTAGGTATGGGGTGTATGGGTCTCTGTGTGTACTCTCGACCCAGTCACCGTAAATATTAGTGGAAGTCCTGTATACTAAGAAATCAGTTGATTTGCTTATTAGAAGACACAGTTGAGCTTTGTGGATTGTTGCATAAGGAAGGAAAGTGAATGAAACTTAAGAAAGCTACCTAGAGAATATAAAATCACCATTTATGTCCTCCACTTACAAATTCTAAGCTTGTTCTGTTTCTCTTCTTCAGGTGAAAGGCCCTAACGTTGGGCTTCTTGGCTTCTCTAAAGGAGGTGACCTGTGTCTCTCCATGGCCTCTTTCTTGAAAGGTATCACTGCCACGGTACTTATCAATTCCTGTGTGGCCAACACAATAGTTGCTCTGCATTACAAGGATATGATTGTTCCCAGTCTTGGCAGTGACATAGGAAGATGTACAATTAATGAATCAGGACTTTGGAATTTTCTCGATATGTGGGACAATCCACTGGAGGAACGCAATTACCCAAGTATTATTCCACTGGAAAGGGCCCAAGGGCCCTTCCTGTTTATTGTTGGCATGGATGATCATAACTGGAGAAGTGACTTCTATGCTCAAATAGCCGCTGAACGGTTACAAGCCCATGGGAAAGACAGACCCCAGATAATCTACTACCCAGGAACTGGTCATTGTATTGAACCACCTTATTTTCCTCCTTGTAGAGCTTCTGTACATACATTGTTAAACCAAGCAGTATTCTATGGAGGTGAGCCAAAGGCTCAATCAAGGGCACAGGTAGATGCCTGGCAGCAAATTCAAACTTTCTTCCATAAACATCTCAATGGTAAAAAATCTGTCCAGTCCAGCAAAATATAACATTGTAATCATAGACCAGATACTATTAATAAAAATCTAATTCATACAACATGTGTTGGGTTTTCCAAAGCACATAGAAAACTTTTGGTAACAAAATAATTATCTCAGCTCCTTGTCAGGTCCTATTGGATTCCCAGGCTTTGCAACCCTCCTTTCTTTACTGCCACCCCTCTCTCCCCTGAACTTTACCTACCATATAGGCTTAACCCTGATCTTATCCATAGGATCCATCTTAACCTGAAATAGGAGAAATGTAAGAAGTGCCTACCCAGCTCTCACTTGCTGGCCTAGCTTTGACCTGTGTTCTGGTTGTGAAGACTGAGCTTCTGTATTGCTGAGAGGTTTTTGTTTTTTTTTAAGATTTTATTTATTTATTTGAGAGAGAAAGAGAGAGAGAGAGAGAGCGCACATGAGAGGAGGGAGGGTTAGAGGAAGAAGCAGATTCCCTGCTGAGCAGGGAGCCCGACGCGGGACTTGATCCCGGAACTCCAGGATCATGACCCGAGCTGAAGGCAGTCGCTCAACCAACTGAGCCACCCAGGCGCCCTGAGAGTTCCATATCCCCTTTGGACCCTAACTGACCATGTCTGAACCTTGGGAACATACCCACTTGAATCCCTTAAGGAATGGACTCTGCTTCTTTCTTGCCAGTACACATTCCTGAATGTGTATTCAAGACTTGTCTCTGAACCCCACTCTGAAGATTGGGGGCATTGATATTTTTCATATGCTAAGCTTTGCTTTTATTTTATGAATGCAAAGCTTTGCTTTTATTTATGAATGAAACCTCAATTTCCTCCTTACTGGTAATGTATCCTTTACAAAATTCAACATTTGTAAAGGATAACTTTACAAAGTAAAGCTGAATTCTTTACAACAAAATTTATTGTAAGCAAAACTGTATTGATATACTGATAGAACCAATTGTCTGCCTTGGGCTCAAGTCATGATCTCAGGGTCTTGGGATTGAGCTCCATGTTGGGCTCCCTGCTCACCAGGGAGTCTGTTTCTCCCTCTCCCGCTGCCCCTCCCCCCTTATGCTCCCTCTCTCTCTCTCAAATAAATAAAATCTTTTAAAAAATTGGTTATATCAGTATATCAATACAGCTTTTTATTTTACGAATGAAACCTCAATTTCTTCCTTACTGATAATGTATCCCTTACAAAATTATTGATTACAACTAATCATCTCCAGGTACTAAATTTCTAGGTGTAGGGACAGCTCTCCACCTCGATTTCTTCCTTACTGATAAAGTAGCCTAGAAATGCCCTACACTGACTAAAGATATTTGGTCATTTTCCCCTCAGAGTTAACTCTATATATGGCCACCTGTTTCTAAGATTTCAAAAGGAATTTCAGGTTGTTGAAAAGCTACCTAAAATATGGTAATTGTGACTAAGAAGGAAGGCAGGAAGAGAAAAGGTATCCATGAAATGAAGCCAGAAATGAGGCTAACACAATAGCGCTCATTATGAAATCCTATATACTTGCCTTGACTGGGCCACTCATCCAGTCATATGCTTTGCAATGGCTTATGCAAAGAAGGAAATCTAATCAGCTACACAAACTTTACAGCATTCATAAAATAAAAGCAAAGCTTAGCAATTAAGTTCTTCCAAAGGTTGTCATGCTAAGAAACATTAAGTGATATAAATGGTAGTATCCTCAACGATTCCTCTGAGGTAGATATAAATTCCAGGCTCCACTACTTATTAGCCATGTGACCTTGGGTAAGTTATTAACCTCTCTAAGCCTCTATTTCTTCATCTATAAAATGGGGATAATAATAGTGATAATAATAGAAACTACCTCTCTGGGTTGTGGTCATTAAATTAGATAGTCCAGGTGAAGCATTTAAAAAATTTATCTATCTTTGTAAAAACAACATTTAAATTTCATTACAGAGAAGTAATGGATCCTACAAAATCTAAGTGAGGATTCCAACTTGAAAGATCCTAAGAGAGAGGGACTAAGTGCCTTTCAGGTGCCTTCCAGCTCTGAGATTCTCAGAGGTGCTGGATTCCAGAACTTTAGACTTGTACTTGCATTCTGAGGTTGGACATGACGGTCACAGATTAAATTTAACCCTCTTAATTTATTACCCTATTCCAGGCTTCTCCTAGGGCTAATTACAGTTATCAACTTGAAGTATACCCTTCCAGAACCATTTTAGGTGCATGTACATACACATATTTGTTTGAATGTAAAAAATATGGTTTTATTTTGTGAGTCCCATGACTCTTTCTTGGGGGAAAAAAAGTCATGATGTAATTTTTTTCTGCATATAAAAACACATTTTTAATACTTGTGCCAAGCCCCAAGACAATAAAGATTATTTCCATAGTGTATACATCTGTAGTGCTGCCTCATCTAAAACGTTTAAACTTTAACCTTGGCAGTCTTTCTTAATCCCAGGCAAAAATAATTTCAAGGAAGGAATTTGGCAGAAGCCTATTACACGTAGCTTCCTTCAGCTAGGTTTAGGGAATTTTGACCCCTGGTGGCCAGGGAGGGACTTTAAAGAAAGAGACCGGCCAGCATTCTGTCACATCAGTAACCGCGTCGAGTCTGAGGCAGGGGATGAGCTCCTGCCTCTTCTAAGCGGTCCCACTACAGGGACCCCAAAAGCATAACCGACCCCGCGCCCTCCTAAAAGTCGCCTCTTCTTGCAGCCTTTGGCTGAGTGGCGCCCCAGGGACCAGCCGGGGCCTTACTGCGCTCCGGATCCGAGGATGCCCCGCTGGGCCCCGCCCCGCCCGGCCCCCGCCTGCCCTGCGGCGCCGGGCGGGGAGGTCTGACTCTTCCTCCCGCCGCCGCCCGGCCTCGTGTCTTTGCCCGGAACCGCGATGATCCCGGGGCCATGTGGAAAGCTGCCCAGGCCGTGCTCGGAACCGCCGGGATCCTCCTCCTACTCCGGAGGTCGATGTCCACATCGGCCCTTCTCTCCCAGAAGGCTGCGACCCTGACCGTCACGCCTACGATTGGGCTGGCCGACGAGCTCCTGGACATTAAAGGGGAAGGCTTAGGCCCGAGGGCGCGGGTGACCCTGCGAGCGTCGGCCGTCAGCTACCGAGGTCGCCTCTTTCACTCGCTGGCCCACTACGAGGCGGACGGCCGCGGGGGCTTGGACCTGGCCAGGGACCCGGCTCTGGGCGGCGACTTCACGGGCGTGGAGCCCATGGGGCTCCTGTGGAGCCTCACGCCGGTCGGCTCAGAGGATCCCTGCTTCAACCAGATGCCGAGGGGCGTGATGAAAAGCCCCCTCAAAGAGGAGGTGACCGTCCACCACGCACCGCGGCAGCCGGCGGTGTCGCTGGGCCCGGCGCTGGCCTCCGCCCAGGTGCAGCGCTGGTTCTCCAGCCCTGAGCTGCGCCGCGCTCGGCTGCAGGCCGGCCGCCTGCGGGGCGTCTTCTTGAGGCCCCCAGGTGCCTGAGGTCTTTTCCGCAGAGGGCTTTGCATGGATTTAGGAAGTCGATTTATGAAAGCTGGCTTGCTTTGCTGGCTAATTTATCTTCTGAAAACAAAACGGCCGCCTTAATTCCTTTATTTTGTTGCCCTAGACACCAGGCAGGACAGTCATTCTCCTAAATGGTGACTGGGATTTAAATTTAATCTGCTCGGGTACGTCTTTTCTGCCAGCTGCCGCCCCCTTTAAACTCCTAGTGCTCCCGATGCTATTCCTTGTGAGCATCTTTGCTATAGTTTCTAGCATGAAGTATTTGCTTACCTCTCTAGTAGGCAGAGCTTTGTGGTAATTTACTTTTTCAGTTATTTCTTGTAAAAATGACGGGAATAATGGATACAAATCTTTCACTGGTATCCGTTCAAGCTCCAACATAACTGAAGTCCTATTACCACTTTTTTTTTTTAATTTTATTTATTTATTTAACAGACAGAGACATAGCAAGAGAGGGAACACAAGCAGGGGGAGTGGGAGAGGGAGAAGCAGGCTTCCCGCTGAGCAGGGAGCCCGATGCTGGGCTCTGTCCCAGGACCCTGGGATCATGACCTGAGCCGAAGGCAGACACTTAAGGACTGAGCCACCCAGGCGCCCCTATTGTTCACTTTTTTAAATACTGGTTTTACGTTAGGATACAGATGACCTTTTTGTTGTTAATTCTGACATACTCTGATTCCTTGGAGACCTTCATCATGAAGAAACTGTTCTGTTTCTCATTTCATAGATCAAAGAACAGTTTCTTTATAGATGAGAAAACTGAGGCCTTAAAGTGTTTTAATCAAATCACACACCTAGATGGTGCTAAAATCAGGGTGTAGTCAAATTCTTTGAGAGCCACACTGACCACAAACGCGCGGAGTGAATGAGTGAAATAGTTAGGTTTTTATTTTAAAAACAAAACAAAACAGTCTGGCTTATCTTCTACTCTCACTCTCAGGATCCTTAGGACCAACTAAGAATCTTTTAAATGAGAGATTTAAAACACTTTCATAGTTGAGGGTGGGTGGGCTTTTTTTTTTTTTTAGAGCCTATAAGGTACAAGCAAATTTACATACTGGGGATCCAATTACTGAATTGAAACAAAATAAACAAATTCTCAGTTATTTTAACGTGATAGACCTGTGGTTGGAAAAATCTATTGCTGGAATAATTTGAGGATCTGTGTGTTATGTCTTTTTCATGGTTTGCTTTAGGCTTTCTGAAAGTAATCTTGAATCCAGAGATGCTTGAGATTTATCTAATTTTAAAAAGAGCAGATCAAGATATGCCAAGATATCTGAATGTTAAGAAAACCACCCTGTAAAAATCGCTACCTTAATATATACACCCTGGCTTTCACTTTGGTGGCTAGATGTACCTTAACTTGTTTCTAGATTTGAAAATTTAGAAACGGCCTTTGGCACTGGAATTTTAGATCTCTTAGTTTGGTTTATGTTCTAATGTTCTTGCCTCTTAATCCGTTTTTATAGATTTATCTGAGACTTTTATTGAAATAACGCAGAAGAATATATCTGAAAAATACTAGGAGACAATTGGCTGAGACATTCTTCTCTTGGAACGGTGAATGAATAACAAAATCTACAAAAGGAATGTTGAAAGAGAAATAACATCAACATTAGAAGGAAATAGTTTGACATTTTACTCCCTTTCCACGGTGAGGGAGCAAGAATTTACTGTCCCCTTGGGCGCCTGGGTGGCTCAGTTGGTTAAGCGACTGCCTTCGGCTCAGCTCATGATCCTGGAGTCCCGGGATCGAGCCCCACATCGGGCTCCCTGCTCAGCAGGGAGTCTGCTTCTCCCTCCGACCCTCTTCCCTCTCATGCTCTCTATCTCTCATTCTCTCTCTAATAAATAAATAAAATCTTAAAAAAAAAAAAAAAAGAATTTACTGTCCCCTTCAAGGTCCTTCTAGCTGGATTAAGAATCAAATTGACATGAGACAGATTAACAGGAGAAAATGAAATTTAATTTTGTATGTATGGGGAATCCACAGACATGGAAATTCCAAAGACAGTCAGGCAAAACGAGGTATATATGTCATCCTGAACTAAGGAGAAAAGGTTAGGGGTCTAGGACTTCGGAGGGAAGGAATGCACTTCACAGGGCAATAAGAAGAGCAGATGTTTGGAAATTAGATTTTTGCCCTGCCGTATAGATGGCACTCAGATAAAACTTATCTCTGGTAATAACCCTCATTCTGAGAAAGACCCCCAGCTTAGATTTTTCCGTGTCATTAAGGGAGGGCAAAAGTTTCTCTTGAAACTGCAGGGTCTCAGTTGCCTTCAGCTCAAAATAATCCACATGCCAAAGTGGCATATTCTGAGGGGAACTCCCCTGAATTCCTTCAAACTCAAAATAATCGTTATATACCAAAGTGGTTAATCTAGGGGCAGCCTGCCCTTGGCCCCTACACCACACATATTATTCATTTATATTACACCATCATTAGACCTTTAAAATAGCATAAGCTTTGTTTATTTAGGGATTTTGGTGACTTTGTTTCTTAAGCTCGTTGAGAACTCAAAGGGCCCTTTAAAGTTGGATTTTTTTAATGAGGTATTATACTTTCATATCTCAAAGACTGCCAGAACTATTTGCTTAGATTAATTAGGATTTACACTTCAAACCAAAACATTTTCTGTATCTTTGGTGCAAATTTTCATATTTTTTTCCATTTCTGAGTGATTTTCTCATAGGAAAAAAAGATAAAAACATTCTTACATTTATAGCTTCAAAATAGCCGAAACAAGTATCCATTTCAACCACAACAATAAACCTATTTCAGCCAAAACAGATGTTTTTTTCCCAAGGCAAATAGGTGAATGTTTTAAAACAGAAAAAAAAATTAAAAAAATTTTTAAAGTTAAAAAATAATAATTTTTAAAATATAAATTATACAATTAGAATTTGCTTTAGAAAATATTAGCTAGGTATCATAGTCCATTAAATGTCCTGTCATCTAATCCCAGATTAATCCTCTTTCCTGGTTTATAGGAGACGGTCCTTTTCCTGGTTTGATTGATATGTTTGGTGATGGAGGATTAAATGAATCTCGAGCTAGTCTCCTTGCTTGCCGAGGTTTTGCTACTTTGGCTTTGCCATTTTTTGGCTATGAAGATCTACCTCCAATCATGAAGGACTTAAATTTAGATTACTTTGAGGAGGCAGCTAAATATGTGCAAAGTCACCCAAAGGTGAGTGGGATTGTAGAGAGAAATGTATTTAAAATTAACTCCTTAGGTCCAGGAGACAGTGAATAAAGAAAGTGGTACAAATGGGTTGGAAAACATCTATAACAAATACCTGCTGAATGAATTAATGAATGGATAAATAAATGAATAAATAAGCCATCTGATAAATACATAAATGTTTTTTCTTTATTGAGGGCTTTGCGAGGCCATTAACAATCATGCTTTTTCTTTCTCTCTCTCTCTCTCTCTCCTTGTTTGTCTTCTTGTTCTTCAATCTCTAGGTTAAAGGTCCAAACATTGGAGTGATTGGTTCTGGCAAAGGAGCCGAGTTGGCATTTTCCATGGCTAGCTTTCTCCCAAATATAGCTGCAGTTGTGAGCATCAATGGCTGCATCTCTAACACAACTACTGCCCTTACATGTGGTAGATTCATCCTGCCAGGACTGCCTTTCAACCTAGACAAAATCTCTGCCATGGGTTCAGGGGTTTACGATGTTAAAGAAGCGCTGGAGGACCCCTTGGACCCAGCCTACCGGGAAAGCCGTATCCCCCTTGAAAAAGCCAATGCCCATTTCCTTGTCATAGTTGGAGAGGATGACAGGCATTGGAAGAGTTCTGTTTATGCGGACATAGCTGTGAAGCACCTCACAGAGCATGGGAAGACGAATTTCACTCTTTTAAGCTACCCTAATGCTGGCCACAGAATAGATCCCCCTTACAGCCCTTTTTTCTCTGTATCGCTGGATCCCGTGTTGGGAGTGCCTGTTTTGGGAGGTGGACAGCTCAAAGCTCATGCTGTTGCTCAGATTGAGTCTTGGAAGAAGATCTTGGAGTTTTTGCACTTGCATCTAGGGTAAAGTCTAACAAACTAGACAGTTTAGAGTATGCACAGAATGAATTAAGGGGTAGGTTGAATATTTTTAACAAGTGCTGACTGAAATCTGGACTTCTCGCAGGCATCTGTAAGCTTTTTTTTTTTTTTAAACTTTTATTTATTTTTGAGAGAGAGAATGACAGAGAGAGAGAGATAATGAGAGGGCTGAGGGTCAGAGGGAGAAGCAGACTCCCCGCTGAGCAGGGAGCCCGATGTGGGACTCGATCCCGGGACTCCAGGATCATGACCTGAGCCGAAGGCAGTCGCTTAACCAACTGAGCCACCCAGGCGCCCCATCTGTAAGCTTTTAAAAGAAGTAAGAATACTTGCTTCAAGTTCATCGGAGCCTGTTACTTTGGTTACTATCCATGTTTCTCCATGTTTGGTTTGTTTGAGCTTGAACTCAAGGTAATCGCTAAGTGAAAACCAGTTTTCTTTCTTTTTTTTTTTTTTTAAAGATTTTATTTATTTATTTGACAGAGAGAGAGACAGCGAGAGAGGGAACACAAGCAGCAGGGAGTGGGAGGGAGAAGTGGGCTTCCTGCCAAGCAGGGAGCCTGACATTGGGCTTGATCCCAGGACCCCGGGATCATGACCTGAGCCAAAGGCAGACGCTCAATGACAGCCACCCGGGCGCCCCGAAAACTAGTTTTCAGTCTGTCATTTACCCACCCTTCCCACCTACCCTCCCTGTTACCTGTACTTCCAAAGGTTTTTAAAAACTGGTGTATGATAATTAGTTTGCTATTATGTGTCCCAGAGGTTATAAAACTGTTTTGAACAGGGGTGAATACATGAATATAGGTCCTTGGTTTTATGACGAGTAGCCACTGGGCTATGATAACTTTCTCATATTAGAAGCTGCAGTGAATTCTAACAAGATTACGCAGAGGCTAATTTGTGGTAGACTGAAGTCATAGAATCCTTTCTGTTGTTAATCAGGTTTTGATTTTTTTTTTTCTAGTTGCCACCTGTTCTAGGATCTTTAAAGAAAGTGAGAAATCCTAAAATACTTGCTTTAAAACTCCCGACCGATTACTGAGAAACACTGATTCTTTACAGTTCCTTTATCTCTGTATTTGTACTTTAAAAAACTTTCCTTCAGGGGCACCTGGGTGGCTCAGTCGTTGAGTGTCAGCCTTCGGCTCAGGTCGTGACCCCAGGGTCCTGGGATCGAGCCCCGCATCGGGCTCCCTGCTCGGCGGGAAGCCTGCTTCTCCCTCTCCCACTCCTTCTGCTCGTGTTCCCTCTCTCACTGTGTCTCTCTCTGTCAAATAAATAAATAAAATCTTAAAAACAAAACAACTTTCCTTCACACTTTGCTTCAAAAATATATTTAAAAATAGGCACATTCCAGTTCTCCTCCCAAGTTGATAATTACACAAGTAGACAATGTAATTATCTGAGGGAAAGACAGAGTTCATCCCTTTGACTTTCCACTACCCTGACCAAAACTTTAATTGCACTTTTGGATGAGCCTTAATATATTAAAATAATTTTAATTGAAGTTCTGAGATTTGATTTTAAACTTTAAAAATACATGTGGAATTAGAAAATGTTAAAAGTTCTGGCCTTCTCATAATTTAGCTTCAGTTTAGTGTTTTTTTCTTCCACATAATTGAAGGGAAAGATTAAAGTATTAATTAACAGTCTTTGATTTTGGTTGATCAGTGGATCTTGTCAGAACTATATTTTGGGCTCTTGGCAGAGGATGAAGTGTTGTCACCCTAATTTGTAGTATTAATGATTTCCCTCCCCCAAATTAACATTATTTTTAAAATGTAATAGATGTTTCAAATTCTTTTTTTTAAAGATTTTATTTATTTAATTAACAGAGAGAGAGAGAGACACGCACAGTGAGAGAGGGAACACAAGCAGGGGGAGTGGGAGAGGGAGAAGCAGGCTTCCCGCTGAGCAGGGAGCCCGATGTGTGGCTCGATCCCAAGACCCTGGGATCAAGACCTGAGCCAAAGGCAGACGCTTAATGACTGAGCCACCCAGGCGCCCCATACAGTATATTTTTTAGATTTATTTATTTGAGAGAGAGAGTGCGTGCACAAGTGGGAGGAGGGGCAGAGGGAGAGAATCCCAAGCAGGCTCCATGCCCAGGATGAGCTCCACCACCCCAGATCATGACTTGAGCCAAAATCAAGAGTCAGAGTTTCAACGGACTGAGCCACCCAGGCACCCCTTCAGTATATCCTTTTTAAGAAAATTATACCAACTATTTTGTTTGGTAACTTGCATTTTAAATTAGTACATCATGACTGCATGTGAATAGATGCATTTCAGCAACATTTTTTTTTTAAGATTTTATTTATTTATTCATGAGAGACAGAGGAGGAGAGAGAGAGGGGGAGAGAGAGAGAGAGAAGCAGAGGGAGAAGCAGGCTCCCAAGGAGCAGGGAGCCCGATGCGGGACCCGATCCCAGGACCCTGGGACCACGACCCGAGCCGAAGGCAGACGCCCAACCATCTGAGCCACCCAGGCGCCCTCAGCAACATTTTTAATGGAAGTATATTATTTCATCGTTTGGATGTTTGATAATACCAATTCTTTTCTTCCTTGACATTTGGGTTGTTTTTCTTTTTGCTATTAAAACTTTGAACATAAATCTCTGTGCACTTGTCTGATTATTTCTTCAGGATGAAGTCCTAGAAGTGGAACTGCTGGGTCACAGAGGTGCACACGTTTTTAAAGCTTTTAATACTATTGCGAACAGCTCTCCTGAAAGGCTGTCAATTATAAACAGCAGTGTATATACGCATCCGCATTTATTCATACCTCTAGCAACTCAATACTTTTATAATTTTTGTCAAATTTAATAGGAGAAGGGGAAGAGGGAGACATCTCGGTTATATAAAACCAGCATTTTATGCTTTAATTCGCCTCTGGCTCCATTGAGGGGGTGGGGGAAGGCAACCGAGGAAATTCAGCTGAATTTAGTTTCAGTCGGACTACAGGTGAATCACAGTAGGTGGAGGGGATGCGGAGGGGCAATGTGCAGGAGGAGAAGGGAATTTTTAAAGTTATTTTACGGGAAAGAATTTTTATAGCGAGGTTTTAAAGTTTTAAACTTTAGGCACGTACCTCACTGCAGATCAGGGGAAATTGCTTTCGGTAGAAAGCATCTCCTGACCACTCTGAGCGGTTAAACTCTCACATCCTGCGAGCCGCAGCCGCTGGGACGCCAGCGGCCGACCGACCGGAGGACCAAGGCGGCCGCTGCGCGGTCCCACAATGCCCCGCACGCGCCACCCTGAGGGCGGAGAAAAAGGACAGCTGCCGGGGGTGGGATCCGCGGAGGGCTCCGAGAAGTGCGCACGCGCACTGACCTCGGCGGGCCCTAGCAACCAGAGCAGTGACAGTAGCAACGGCCGGAATGGTGAGTACCTTCTAGGCCTCATAGTCAAAGAGGAGAGGAGATTGGAGGTGGAAAAGGGTGACTGTGGCGTGTTGAGGGTTGGGGGGCGGTTCTCGATTAGCGGAAGGAAGCCGGTAAAGGACGCTAGCTCTGCAGTCAAAGGCCTGAGGCGAAGGAGAAGCCCTGGCACGGGGTGGTCTGGGGTGAGAGCGGCCTGGGGCGGATTGGAGGTTGCTTCATGTGGAGGGACTCTGACAGAGAAAGGGGGCGCAAAGAGCAGGAATTTCTCGAAAAAGAGCAGATTAGAGTGGGAAAGGTGATGGAAGGCAGAGTGTGAATAAGGATATTTCTGGTCATGGAAGTAATTTTCCCCCTGGCGAGATGGGGCGCGGGGAGCTGGTTACCAGAGGAGTGTGTGTAACACCAAGTGCAGCTGTATTCCTAACCTGTGAGGTGCCCAGGTTGTCCTCCGAATGACTGTAAGTGCAGTTATTAGGTAGCATTGTAAAGCCCACTCGGATAGAATATATTAGGATAGCGTTTCTCAGATTTAAGTATGCGTAAGTATAGTCGGCTGAAGATTGAGCTTGCTGGAATGCAGATTATGAATTTTTAATATAATGGGATTCGTGAACGTGCATTTCGACAGTGCACCTCAAGTGATTCAGAAATTGGAGGGCGTCCCACCACACTTTGAGAAATACTGCTACCTTGGATTTGAAATCTATCAGTGATTTATCCAATCAAAGCCTTTTATGAAGTAGTGATTTTTACCTACTGATGCTCCTCAACTCCTACTTAAAATGTGCAGTTTTGCTTACAGATTTGGTAGTTCCACCTAGTAGTTTGAAAAGGGATGTTGTTGGTTGATTACAGACCCAGTCAAAGCTGTTTTAGCGATGTATATGATTGTCCTGCCTGATGGGGATGTTTATGAAGAATAAGTATAATTAGTTGTCTTCTTTCTGTGATTCCAGTGCTGTTTAAGTGGGCAGAAATTGAGCCCAGGAAACTGAAATGATGACGAAATCGTGCCTGCCCTCAACCACAAGATTAAATACCACTCTTTTATTTTTTTTAAAAAAGATTTTATTTATTTATTTGAGAGAGAGAATGAGATACAGAGAGAGAGAGAGAGCATGAGGGGGGTAGGGTCAGAGGGAGAACTAATGCAGGACTCGATCCTGGGACTCCAGGATGACCTGAGCTGAAGGCAGTCGCTTAACCAACTGAGCCACCCAGGGGCCCCATAAATACCACTCTTTTAAAAGTTTCCCCCCACACTTTCCTTACTTTATTCCACAGGCATTTATCTGAAAACCACTGCCAAAGAAAGTAAAAAGTTCTGGAACCTAGGTTTATATGCAGGTGACAAAATAATCAGCCCTAAATGATTCTGAAAGCATGATCCATGAGAATTACTGAAAATCTTCAAATAGAGAATCAGAACCAGTAATTAGATGAAGCTAGCTAAGGCTGGAAACTGGTAGTTCCAGAGCCCTCGAGAAATCAGGCTAACATAGTTTTTTAATTAACTAAACATTAGCCTCTGGGGCGCCTGGGTGGGTCAGTCAGTTAAGCGTCTGCTTTCAGCTCAGGTCTTTAGCCCAGCATCCTG